CGGACATGGTTGCTAGCTGGCGTCTTTGTGTGACGGACGGTGAAGGTGAAGGCCTAGTCGAGGCAGAGGCCTGGATCCTTGGTTGACGTCAAAACAGGCCCGTGATATCACCGCGATGCCGAGGGATTGGTGGGCACAAGAGACGGGCGGCAGATGGGGGTGAGGTCTCGCGCAGGTGTGTGCGTGCGAGAGAGAGAGAGAGAGAGAGAGAGAGAGAGTGTGTGTGTGTGTGTGTGTGTGTGAGAATGCGGTGTGAGAGTTGTGAGTTTAGTTTGTGAGAGGAAGTGGCGGCGAGTAAGACGCGGCTGCCGTTGCGGTTGCGGTTTCGGTTGCGGGTGATGTGATTTTTCGGAGGTGAAATTGGAGACTTGGTTTTTTTTTTCTCGCTCTCTCTCGCTGGAGGGGGTTGAGAAGTTGAGAGTGTGAGAGTGGGATGGAGAGTGAGAGAGAGCCGGACCACGCTATGAGATCGGGTTGCCTTCAGGTTGTGTGCGTGGGAGTGGAGGCGGGAGGGTGGAGGCGGTAGGGGAGGGGGCGGACAGGAGCCACAAGAGGGGAAGGCGTGACTGGGTCCAGTTGAGACTGGAGGTTTGTTGCTTCCTGCCTTTTTTGCCGTCCTTCTTTTTTGTAGGTACCTTTCCAGGTTGGTGTCGAGTGTCTGTACACAGCGCCCCAGCTGTGGAGGTGAATATAGGTATGCTGTGCAAGCTGAACTGAGGTACGCACTTCCAGTCAGTCACCAGTGGAGGGGGAAAGAAAGGAAAGGTTTAATACCAGGCCGGATGGAACGCAGGAGGGCAGAGCGGCTGCGAGCAGTGAGGTGTCTTGTCTCCCGTTGGGTACGGATCACTGGACGGTACTCTTGTAAGGTAAGGTTGGTGTAGGTAGGTACCTTGGGTGCTTGGGTATCGTGAGGTGTGAAAGTGGGTCGGCAGTGACAGCGTAAGGTCGCAGCCCAGTCAGTGTCGAATGGACTGAGGTTACCCAAGCTAAGGCCCGAATGGAAGCCAGGGAGTCCGTGATGATGGCGATGACAACATCCAGTGATAGCGAGAGGCTGGCCAGAGGGGTGGATCGTGAAGTGGCACCCGTACTGTGGTAGAATGTGCTGTAGTTCTCGACTCTCGAGGATACTACTACGTACTCCGTCGAGGGTTCCGGTTCGTGAGGGGAGAAAACGACCCGATTCTGGGAACCTGGAAAAATTGGGTTTGAGCCTTCAAGGGTGGAGACGGACGAGTCGAAATAAGGTCAAGCGTGGAGAGTTGACCTTTGAGGTGAGGTGAGGTGAAGTGAGGTGGAAAGTTGGCCAGTGAGGCGCCCCGCGAGTATTTCGTGGGGTAAATAATAAAGCTGACCTGAGGGAGTAGGTAGGTGGTCGTCGGATCGGTGAGATGAGGTGAGGTAAAGAGGATGTGAGCATAAGCATGAGCGTGGGAGCCGGAACTCTGCGAGTGGCAGCTTGCAGGCGAGGAGAGGAGGAGGTGAGGCGGAGTGAGGTAAGAGGCGTGAGAGGAAAGCGGCGACCCGGATTCAAGAACCAAAGCCTGCCCTTTCTCTTTGAAAGTGGGGTCTTTGTGTGGAAGGAAGGTGCCTGTCACAGATCACAGAGGCTGCGTCCTACCTTACTCGGTACCCGTTGGACGCCTGGATATCATTCCCAATGGTGACGGGAGTTGTTATATGGGAAAGCCTAGCCCTTTCTACTTCGAGTGCCAGGTCTAAGGTACGGAGTAAGGTAGAGGTAAAGAAGAAAGGTCAGGAATTCCGGGCCAGCTCTCACTTGTACCGGACGGTCGACGGTGTCAGGGAGAAGAGTCACAATCTACCTAAGGTGCCGGTGGAAGGCGCGATGCAGGTGCAAGGTAAAGGTAAGGTAAGGTATTAGCCCGCCGGCCAAAAGATAACTCCACATACGGTCTGAAGGGTATCTAAGGTAGTCAACGGTAACATCGACATACTTTGACAATACCTCACAGAGTAAATGTGAGAGAAAGCTGGAGAGAGAATGAGTGAGGCAGCACCAAGACACCAAGACAATCTAGATACCGCCACCCTATGTGTGTGTGTTCACATACATGAGTAGGTATGAAGAAAAAGTTCAAGAGACTCTAAAGTACGGGCACTCCGTACAGAGCTCGGAATGCCGTTTTAGGGAGTTTGAGACTTTCCAAAGGGTTCTGGATTGCCTCCACAGCATTCCACAAATCAACGGCCAATCCGCCTGTGCTTACCGCGCTCTGTTTGTCCAATTTGCGCCCCGGGAATAATCAGATGGCGACTGGCTGGATGACTGCATCTTGAGGTATCTGGTGTTTGCCCCGGTGAGACTGCCCTGGTGCATGCTCACATACTGTCAACGGAAGATATCTCGCGACATGTACAGGGCATGTTAAGGTACAACTTACAGCCCCCCAAGCCGATGCAGGCGCAGGTGCAGGTGCAGAGCAGATGCAGCAGGTGTACCTCAATCCGCCTACCTTACGCAGTGCCTCATGCCTCTTGCATCTGCTTCCACTTGCACCTGCACTCTTTTCACGGATTCCCTTTTTGGACTCGCCTCTCCTTCTGCCTTACCTTACGTCTGCGCCTTACTGTACGTACTTGACTGCAGTAGTCGTCCCCGCCTGTCTCTCGGTGCCCTCCCCAGAAGCAACCATGAGACAAGCTTTGATACCTTCCTCAGTTCCTTAAGGAAGAACCTCCGAACCTCGAGGTGTCTGATTCATTCTCCTCCTCAATATCTGACATTGTAAGTCATTCCGAAAAGAAACGCCACGCCTTCCAAGTTATACTTAGGGTGCCATCGCGCCACACTTCGGCTAGGCTTGCTCCGTTGCAGGGGAGCATTGTTCCAGACGACCTTCTAGAACAGACCCAAGATCCAGAGGGGAATGACCAACTGCCAACCAGAGCAGACTGACCAGCCGCACCAGGCTAGGTATCTGGATACCAATATCAAACATCATCTCCGGGCTGAGCGACACAAGTCATTGCAAGGAAAGCGCCGCATTACCGCGCTACGAATGAAAGGCTTTGGCCATGGATCTCTTCGGCGGGCCCCAGGCCAGGCTGGTGGGGGGGGCTTCGCCGGCTTCCCTCCGAGACCGCCGACCCAAGGGATCCTCCTCGGGAAACCAAAACGTCGACCCGCCGGCGGGCCATTCCCCTCCATTCGACAAGGGCAACCCGCGAGCGAACCGCCGGGGTGGGTGCGCTGGTGGGTGGGCTTGACGGACAATGCGATTGACAAGGTGGATGAGTCAATAAAGTCTCGACGAACCAACATCCACAGCGCCTCTTCCAGCGAAGGATTGGCTGCAACATAACACCATGCCAAAGTACGGATACCTAGATTCTCTCGTGGTCTCGCCCTCTCTACGTATGCTTGTCCCCATCCACGCGATTGGAATGTACAGCTATCAACACGGACGAATGACCCCCAAACACCACACCAATCAACCTAACTATCTTATCACTTATCGATTTACCTCCCCCGGTGATACCTGCACCTCAGTTGTGATCCATTAATTACCTCGTTGAGCCAAGAAGGGGGCTCTGCTTCGGCCTGTCCACAACCACTCAGCAGCTTCCATCGCCTTTGACGCCTCTCCATCTGCAACAACTCGAATAGGTACCTACACGCACTAGCGCAATAAGACATAACCCACGCCTGGATTATCTCTCGGGACAATCCCAGCTTTAGCCTTCAGGATATCCGCCACTGTCTACAGGCTTTCATATTGTCAGCTTTTGACGCTATACCACAGTACAGGGCATAGAACCCCCGGTCCATTGCTCAAGTTCACCTTCACAGCTCCCACAGCTCTCGATAAAATTGAAACTTCAATCGCCCGATGTGGGGTGGTATTTGGCACAAAAGAACCTTCGTGGCAATCCGGCGGTCAGATAGCCTATTGACCGATGAGTTGCCAGTGACTCCTGTGTAAGCGCTGACCGGCATGCCAGTGTAGGCCATTGCTTCTCTTAGTGTGCTTAGGAGCTCAGCTTCATCAATACTGAACCAAGACAGTCTCTCTCGATGGGGAACGCTCATGGCGTGGCAGATAAGGTGCAAGACTTACAGCCATCCAGTGAGGAGCGCCGTTGCAAGCTATGCCGACTCGCCTAAAGACAGGACATCATCAGCTGTTGGGGTATTCGAGATCACCAAGCGCATACAATCGTCATAATGGCGAACACTTTCTACTTTGCGCTTCCCTCCTGACCTCTATACTAGGCTAGTCAGTCAATCATTCACCTGATGTATCCGTCCTACCACACCGACATGTCTTCAACTATCGGTCAATTCCAAACGTACTCTAGGCCTTGTCTTAGAAGGACCGGCTTCGTGGCAACGACTCGCAATTCCGCTTGGCCTGGCAGCCTGGCATGGCATAGCACAGTCCTCTATACCTGTCAACCCCCATCCAAGATCAATGTATCGGTACCGGAGCACCACTCGCTGCAACCGTGTGCTTACGTCGCGGGATGTCCTCTGAATCCTGCTTTACACTACATCCCAAGTGGCTATTATGCGGAATTCCTGCGCCACAATTCAGTTGGCAGCACCACATTGTCATGTCGAGACTCTAACCCCGACATTCCCCCACGCTTGGTACAAGATGATGGACGTCAAACGACAACCGCCAATCTTCCCCGCTGTTCACTTCTGGTGGAGAAGCCGTCCCGCCGCTACATTACACAAACCGGTCAACTCCACTACGTCAATTGCCTCCTCTTCGTCCTCCTTGACGTGGGCGTGGGGCCTCTAACTTTGCTCCCGTCTGATCCGACGTTGCCCAGCGTTCGAGGCATGGCGGGTTTGCGGGCTTGCGGGTTTTGGTCAACGAGTCATTAGGCTCGCTCCGCTTCATTGCCGCGCCATGCAGCCGCTACAATGCCAACCTCATGCCTTGCATCGCTGCTACAGTGTTCCCTAATCGCTATACGAGAGACGGCGGCGACACGAGCATGCTTCACCGAAACAACGTAGCGCATGTCTGAGCATTCGATGGGAAGTTGGCTAATCAGGTAACGATTCCTCGGCACAGAATGTCCCGTCTGATAGCCATCTACGGAGAAAAGGTCGACATGTTCCCAACAAGAATTGCTCAACCTATGCAAGAGTCACCAGTACATGGACCAATGTCAGGCACGACCAACGAACATGTCCAATCTCCTCTTCGTACTACTGTACACCCAAACTCTCCTTCAAGTCTCTTCTACCGCGCGACCGCGCGTCTTTCACCAACGTTTCGCAACCACACAACGTCCTGAGCGATACCTAGACTCGTCCGAAGAGACACTCGACCCGACCCGCCGGATCTGCACCTCGCCCATCCCGGTTTGTCAACCCAGCAAAGTAAAGGTTTCGTCCAAGCTATGGCCCGAGTTCCTCATTGACTGGCATTTCCCCCTCATCTCGGAACCCACATGCCGATGAACCTACGTGCTTCTTTGTACGACCCTTCGTGCATGAGAACAACTTTCGAACTTGTGAGACTCGCCATTCGGCATCAGCTTGCAATGGTCCACGTTCTTGGCAGCTCAAGCAAGATCCCGTCGGCCTCGAATAGATCTCTGATGCTTTCATTCTTTATAGGTTAGGTGAACTTAGGTCTGACGGACCCTCGCGTGCCGTTGGGCAGCTTCATGCGTAAAGATGCAAGCTCGACGTCAATGCTCTCCGTGTTCTGCCGATGAGGGGTCGATGCCCTTTTTTTCGGATTGCCATGTGCCAAAGCCGGACGATCTAGATCAATCTGGGAATATGAGAGAGAATGAGAGAACGAGAGCCAAGTTCAAGGTTTGGACCGATACAGTTTCGATATGTCCCACCTTTCTACCAATGATGATGGGTCAACGGCGGCTCCCATACTGGAACGAGCCGCAAGCCTACCGCTTCTGGGCTGCTTTCTTGGCATTTGTTTGACTGTGGAGGACCTCAGTAAGAAGACCAGACGCAATCATGATTTCCTTTAGTTGTTCAACTATCACCACGGTAGATTCGGCAGTCACAGTAAGTCGCATCAAGTAATATATCGTTCGAGCAAGCCCACCACAGTTCACCCTGCTTGACAGGTACTCTCATCTCCGTCGCCGAGGTAGCGGAGCGTACATCCAACTCAAGGTCACTCTTGTAAAAAAGCGGGAGATTAGAACCTAACAGTCTCGCAGTCTCATTATTATCGTAATTGCCGGAGCATCTATCATCTATGATATACCCTCTCGCGAAAGAGTTTCTAATCATGCCTCTGTCTCTTTTCTGTCCATATCCGATACAGATATACCGCTGAGCAAGTAATTATCGGTATAGCAGTCAAAGAAGGGAAGCTCCATGAAACGAAAGGACCCTCCCCATCCCCCCTTTCCCCATGTGAGACGTCCAGGATTCTGTCTATGTGGGAACCCGTTCTGTAGTCGTTTCTGATGCCGTAACGCCCCATGGGTGTGGTATACCGTATGCTTCCGATAAGACAAGACATTGTTCCTCGTGCCTTTTCTTCTTCTTCTTCTCCTGTATCTAATGAAATCCAACGATGGAGAAGGGGTATCTCTCTAAACGAACGCTCGCTCTGATGCTTTGATCCAAGTTCGTAATTCGTAAGTGGGACGTCTTTTGTTCCCGGCTGGCAGTATACATCGGTGCCCACATGTACGATGCTCTGCTCTCTCTCTCTCTCTCTCTCTCTTCCTCTGCGCGCCTGTGTATGTGTATGTGTATGTGTGTGTATGTCTCACACACTCACTCACTGACTCCAACTCGGACTCAACACAATCTTGGTAATAGGCCTCATCTGCTTCTCCTTCCAACTCGTAAGCGGGACCTTCACCCAGACGCCATTACCCGCTCTCATCCACGCGAGATTCCGCGTCGAGATGAGGATCCTCGGCTTCTTCTTGGGGTTGGCAATCGCCGCCGCCGCAGAGAAGGCGGAGAAGGGGGATACGCGGGCCGCGTGAAGTGCGACTTGCTGGTTGAGCCAGTGGTCGACGCGGGCGTTGGTGGTGTAGAGGGAGGTGAAGGGTGAGGCGTAGGTTGTGAGTGGTGCTGTTGCTGGTGCCTCTGGGGTCGGCGTCTCTGAGACTGTTGACTCTGTTACCTCTGTGCCTGTTGATGCTAGGCTTGCTGCTACGGCTGGGCATACCGGAGTACCAGGCTCAGAGGAACGACGGGAGCCCGCGACGTTTTCGTGGCGGTGGAGTTTCCGGCGGCGACTGGCGGCGGAGGCTGAAGACGAGGAAGACGAGGCCTTGAGCTTGAGCTTGATAGCCTTGGGCTTGGTGCCGGGCTTCGGGGTGGTTGTGCCTGTTGTTGTGGGCGGGGTGAGGATGGGCTTGGAGGGCAGGAGTCTGATTTTGGTGATGGGCTTGAGGTTGGAGGCGTTGGTGTTGGGTGTGAGGATGTCGGCGCCGGCGCCGGCACCGGTGGATGGGGTTTGGGGGTTGGCCATTATGAAGTCTTGTAGTTGAGATGTTTGATGTAGTGTAAGTGCTCCCCTTGACCTGGTTCAACCCCTTCGATATGGTGAATTTTGGTTTTGTTGGACTTTGAGACCTAGGCGGGAAGTGTGATCATGCTTCGCGTGAAGTCGCAAGACGAGAGTAGAGTAGGTTGAGATTGATGAAGATGATTGCCTTGATTCTTGATCAAGTTGAACTGGAAACAATGTTGCTATCGAAGGCCTGGTCGTTGTTCAAGTCTTCGTTGTTGTTGCAATATGTTTGCGTTTCTTCTTCAGACCCGCGAAAGTGTACGAAGGATGTATGAAGAACCAGAGAAATATTCTACACTGGTAGGCGTCAAGCACGCCTTTGTATGTCATTCAAAGGACGAAAAGGGCGATTCCTCGAATATGGGCGGTGGCCGAAGAGGTGAATGAGTGAACAATCGGAGATGGGCTATATGCCTGATTAGGGTAATTACACGACCAAAATGGGACTTTTTCAGATGAAGAAAGTCGAGAGGGCTTTTATTCACTGCTTTTTCCGGTCTGACTTTGCTGAGCTGGGCTGAGCCCATCTCCGTTACAATTTCGAGGGCGAGGCAAGAAAAGGGAATAAGGTCGGGTGGGTGGTTGGTCGGTGGTTGAAAGAGGTGAATGACCCGCGAACCTGTCTGGTCCGCGTGACTACCTCACCCTACCAACCTATCTCCGTATACACCTCAAGACTCAAGAAGCCCCACAAGGCTCTGGTAGTCACTCGGCCTCTCTATGATTCAGATAATTGCCTTGCCTTGTCTTTTTTCTCGCTTTTACCAAGGTTCGGGGTTTCCATGGGGTTTGACAATGGAGAAAGAAAAGTTGAATGAAAAGTTCTCTTTCACGTAAAAACGTGTGTTGAAACTGCCCTCTATTTCGGGCATCAAACAATCGAAACAAAGAGTCAATGTAGACGACATACTCTCACACACATAATGAAGAGGTCGCAATCCTTCCAAATGTTCTTTTGTTCTGTCGTCCTTTCCCACCGCAATTGCAGATTTAAGGATGGATCAACGAATATCTTCAGCCCCTCCGCTCCCCTCGAAGCAACCAAAGAATCTCATAACACAAAAACAAATGACGGCTATGCGCAAATTGCTTCCTCAACTTCTAGCCTTGTACTCGGCGATGATCTTGTCGATCCGTCGCTCAGCCTCCGGCGTCGTCTTTGGGTTATTTCGGGGATCAGAGCCGCTTCTTGGAAGCAACGGGTCTGGGAAATGTTCTGTTCAAGTAAAACAAATTCTGTAAGCTGAGCCCTCTCATATCTTCCTCTCAACTCGTTTCAACAATGTCGTTGAGTTGGGTGCCATCACGGCCTTTCATTCACCAGTAGAGAGGGGAGGATGAAAAGAAAGAAAAAAAAAACAATAAGGTTCACTTACTTGGGTCGAATCTCTGGTCCAGAAGTTTCGCCTTGAAAGACTCGTACTCTTCTCTGAACTTCTTATTGTTCCAGCTGGGTGCGGCCGCTATTGCCGCCGAAGAAGCCTTGGGGTCGTCTCGGATGCTTCCCCCGGCCTCGGAGCTGGGCGTCTGGAGTTTTGCGCCGCCTGCTGCCATTGTGTTTGCTGTTGAATTGATTTCCTTCAACGTTGTGTAATTGCGGGTTCCTGAAAAGTGATGAGTTATTTGTCCATGTATATCCTGGGGTTGGGTTGTTTGTGTCACCGCTCGGCGGTAACTTCTGAACTCACCTTGAATCCCAACTGGGTTGTAGGAGGATGTGCCAAGAGCTGGTGAGGGGGTCTCGGGGGATTTTTTGAATAAAGGCCTCGAGGGCTTGAAAGGAAGTATTGAAATGTGGGCTTTTTTGCCAAATCCTGTTGACGAAGCCAAAGTTGAGGTTACTCCGTCGCAGATTTGCCTAAGCACCGCACCGGGTGATGGAGTAGTTGGGTATGAGGTGAAATGGACATCGCTCACCTGCCTGTCACTCGGGCCCAGCCGACCCCACCATTCCAAGGGTGTTTCCAAGATCCGATGCGCCTGCTGACCCCTGGGTGCCCCTCCACACAAGTCCGGAGAGGATACTTGTTCAATACACAATTTTCCTTCCAGGCAGAGGCGAATGTCAAAGTAACTGTCATGTCCATAGACCAGCTGAGGGGAGCTTTTAGAAAAGAAAAAAAATAGCCGTAGCCGCCTCGGACGCCTCTGACCAAGGCACAACCGACAAGGGGTCCGTTAACCTCACTCATCTCATCCCACCTTTTTTTCCCCTCTACCTTTAACTTCATCGTGAGCATCGACTTCACCACCCTTTGGACAACCTGCCATTTTTGGTTCTTGTGTGTTCACATTCATCCTATCCACTCATCCAATGCTCCCACATTAGCCCGAGATCACCGCTCGCCCCGTCACGGTCACAGCACACACCTCTCCCCTCCCTTTCAGGTCTCAGCTTCCTCAACCGATCGATCGCCCACCACCTTTTGGCAGGCAGGCTTCAACACCCCAGTGAGGCTTCACCCACCCCCACCATTACGGTCACGTTATCACAGAGCTGGGTCGCTTCACCGGAAACATCACCCGAGAAGTAGCCGAAAAGATGGTCAAGAAGGGCGGCGCTTCTCTCGTCCCTGATGCCTGGGAGGATGATGACTGGGAGTCCGCAGCCGACAAGCTTGACGCCCAACCCACAGAGGTGCAGCCTGAACCGCAAGTACCAATGACCAAGGCAGAGCGGCTCGCCCAGCATGCCGAGCAGAATCGAAAGCTTTGGGAATCAGCGTATGTCTTCCACCCGGCTTTTTTTTTCATGCCCAGCCTACGGTCTTTTCCATTGCCTGTTCCATGTCCTCCCAATGGCTATGGTCATAGAAAACGGGCAAAGTAGCTAACACGAAATTTGACCTTCCCTAGTGACTCCCCCACACCCACACCAATGACCTTCCTCGAAACCCAACCCTCAGTCCCCCTTGCCACGGGCTTCAAACCCCAGGTCAAAGTCCTGAGCCGAAAACCCGCGCCCCGAACAATCGCCCGGCGCGACCCCGTCACCGGCCTCCTCTCCCACCTCTCCCTCGCCGACGACGACGCCGACGACCAGCACGCCGAGAAGAAGCCGCAGCTCACGCCCGAGGAGATTCGCGCCAAGCAGCAGCGCGAGCTCGAGGAGAAGCAGCGGCGGTACGAGGAGGCGCGCGCAAAGATCTTTGGCGAATCGAACCCTTCCTCTGGCGCCTCGAGCCCGAGTGGGACAGTCACTCCACCTAGAGGGGGAGGAGGAGGCGCCGAGAACGAAAGAGGTGGAGGGCGCGGCCGTGGACGAGGACGCGGTCGCGGCGGCGGCGGTGGTGGATACCGAGGGAACTCGAATCGACAAGATGACCTACGACGACCTGGCAGTAGCAGATCCGACGCCGTTCGCGCCGAGAGCGGTCGTGAGCTCTACGACCCCGGATACGCACCCCGAGGCGGCTTCGGGATGCAGAAGCGTGGGGGCGGCGACGGCCCACACACGTACAACACATACAACCCGCATTCTTCTGGGCGTTCGACCCCGAGAGACGTCGAGGACCAGCCCAAGCAGGCCATTCGAGCTCCACGCGGACCGGATGGGACTGGACGAGGTGGATTCGGCTTCGCCAAGCGAGGCACAAAGGAAGGATGAAATTATTACTATGCTAATTTTGCCTCTTCCCTGTCAAACGAGGGAAAGAAGAAATAAGCAAAAAAAGACTACCAGCCTCCGCCAATCTTGCCCGCCAGCTGAACGACGCGCTCCGTGTCGCTAGCCTTGTCCTTGCCCACGTCGCTGACCACCTCGCGATACGTGGTGAGGGCCAGTCTACCCAAGTCTATGCCAGTGCAATCCGCCCAATGCGCTAGGGTATCTCGAATGTAAGAAGGCGAAATTCCGTCAACAACGTCGTCTGCTTCTTGCAGACCGTTACCATTTTGAGCAATACCATTGCTCTCCTCGCCGTCAGAGTCCTCTGCTGAAAAGTAGGCCTCGTCGACCTCGGCCAGGAAATCCTTCTGCTCGAGCGGGCCCGGCTTGCTCTCGTAGCCCTTGCGCTCGACGACGATCGGGTCGTCGACCTTGATTTGCCCGCCGCCGTTGGTGCAGCCGCCGGGGCACGCCATGACCTCGACGTAGGCATACTCGAGCCCGGCGGACTTTCCCGTGGGCCTCCTGGCGGCGCCGAACGCCTTGCCTCCGGGCATACGGGACGGTCGCGCTGGCTTCAGCTTGCGAACCAGGTTCTGGATGTTGCGGAAGCCGTAGTACCGCGCGGCCTTGAAGATGGGGTCGCCGGTGGCGGAAGCGACGATGAACTCGACGACGTCGGCGTTACGGCCGCGGATGATTTGGATCTGGGAGTTGGGGTGCTTGGAGGCCACGGTCTGTAGAGTGAAGTAGAGGTTGCCGCCGGAGGAGCCGGCGGCCACAGACGAGCGGTGGGCTCCGTGGGCCGGGAAGAGGAACTTGTCTAGCCTCGTGTCCGGGAACGGCGTCCGTTGGACACCGGCGGCGGATGGCTTAGCCCGCGGTAGATTAAAGAAATTGAACCCCCTTGACTCGGCCAGCATGAGGACCTCTTTGCTCGTGATAACGCAGTCCACGTCGCGGACCCCTCTGCCGGGTTTCCCGTCTCCGTCGGGACCCCACACCGAATCCGTGAGCTCCTCGCGACTGGCCTCGAGCTTCTTGTCGAAGCACGGCATGACGGCCAGGTGCCAGATCCTGCTGGGCGGGATCCCGAGCTTCTTACTCAGCGTCGTCTTGAGGAGGGTGCCCATGAGCGCCTGGGGCGATTTCACGCGCGACAGGTGCGGGAGGACGTAGGGGTGCGTCTTTTCGGCGTAGCACACCCACCCGGGACACGATGATGTGAGGATCGGCTTTGTCGCGGGGGTTGACGGTGACGGTGACGGTGAAGCGCCTGCTGCTGCTGAGCTACCGCCACCGCCCAGAACCTCATCAGCCCCGAGAACAAGACACGCCTCGCGCGCAACGTTGGTATCCAGCACCCACGTGAACCCGTTCCCATGCTTCCCGCCGCTCGCGAGCCCCGCGTCGCTGCTGAAGAGCGCGTCCAGCATATACCCAGCCTGCCGTTCCGTCGTGCCGTCGCCAGCAGCAGCAGCCAGACTCGCCCTCGTCTGTGGCGAGACGCTCGCCACAAAAAGCATTCTGCTCTCGTCTTCGAGCCCCTGGACGTGGAACTCGCCCGTGGTCGGGTCCGGGCCGACGATGCGGAGGGACGGGCCGAAGTCGAGGGTGTTGAGGACTTCGGTGTGGGATTGCATGCTCACGAGGACGGCTTCGGCGGAGGTGACGCAGCCCGAGCAGGCGAGGCAGTCTGTGAGGGAGATTTCGGCGGGGGGCGCATTGCTTGCTGCGGTGGAATTTGGTTGGCCGTCGAGGATGACTTCGTGTTCGAGGGAGGCGTCGAGGGGTGGTGGAGGGGGGGCGGAGGGGAGGGTTTCGATTGGTTTTATGCAGGCGACGCCTGGACTTATGAAGTCGTTGAGGTCGTCTGCGGAGAGTATTGCGCTCATCTTGGAGGATTTCTGTTCAGAGTGTCGAGAGCGTAGAGAGATTGAAGGAGAGAGGAAGAGTGGGAGGGAAAGGAGGGGAGGTGGGATATCGAAGATGGCGGGGCAATGCGTGGATACGTCGCGATATGCAACAAGTTGACGATAAGAAGTATGAGTCGCAACGCAGCGGGGTGCGAGAGAGATGCGAGGACACAAGCCGTTCGTCTAGGTATGAGTGCGGAAACGATACGAGAGGCCTTGTCTTGTTTGTGGACGAGTTATGCTTCCTCCTTGTACTCCGCGAGGCCGGAGATGCGCAAACGAGTGGTGGATGGGAATTAATCGTTGATTGCAAATCCATCCCCCACCACTGGGTTTTTTTTTCGCTCTTCGCAGAGTCAACAGTCAAAGTGCCCCGTCGCTGACAGTGCATGCGCGCCTAGGCTTTGCGAAATCGGCATCCACTCAGTGGCGGGATGGGAAAAGTGGACGCCCCTCGCGGCATCGGCCCCTGGGAACCTAACCTAAGCCGACAGGATTACAGGGGGAGGCTCATTGCTGTCTGTTGTGCAGCTGGCCGACGCAGGCCGTCGAGTGGGAATCGGGAGCCATGGCGGGCAAGGGACGCGGTGCCGGGGGCCCGTCCAATGACGTCGGCTCGTCGTAGCTCTCTCTTCCCTGAGCTCAACCTTGAAGTCATCCCACGCGCGAGGCAAAGTTCTACGAAGCTTCATTAATACAGTAACGCAGGCTCTCAAGCAGTAATCCGTAACTTCAAAACTCTTCAATTCCACCTAAATCACTCGTCATAGGAAAACGAACTCGACCACCGCTCACCAAATCACCTCAATGGACGTAAGCCATTTCCCATACATCGTCCCCGTCTCTCGGGAATCCTCGTTGACACATAGCTCTACCACGAACCAACAGGCGATATCAACCTTCAGCTTCGGCAACCTGGGTTGGCTCGCGACCCAGGCCGTCCCGCTCATTATATGGCCGCGCTTCATCACCAACCTCCTGCGTCCTGATGACTACCAGTACGCCGCAGGCTGTAAGTCTCTCCCTCACCCCCCTTCCATCCACCTCATGTGAGCCCCCAAGGGTTGACTGACTGACACATCAACCTTCCAGCTCTCGAGGGCTACTTTGCCCGCTCCCTAGGCTTCGCCCTCCTAACCCTGGGCCTCCTCGTCGTAACCCTTTCAGGAGCAGTACCCCTCGCATCAGAGGACCTAAGTAAGATTCCACCACGTCCCCCCCCTTCTTGCCTACACATCTCTCAGCACAGTAGCTCACACAATAACCCCCACCAAACAGCCCCAGCAGGAACAGTCTCCCCCTACGCAAACGCAGCCCTCATCCTCTCCTCCATCCACCACGCCTCGGCCGGCTTCTACTGCTACAGCAGGTGGCTCCGCACCGGCCAGACGGCCTTTGCCCTCGGCTGCCTCGGCAGCGCCGTCTTCGCCGTCTCGGGGCTCTGGTGCCTCATGTTCGCCGGCGACAAGTCGCGACGCAGCAAGAAGCACGGCTACGACAAGGACACGAGCTCGTTCCCCTTTAAGAATACCGAGTCGTACAGATCCAAGAAGAAGGGTTTGTAAAGGGGAAACGGGAAACGAAAAGAGAGACAGAGAAAGAATGTAGCTGTTGTAGACCGAGAGGATTGGCAACCAACTGAATGCTGGCGAACATAGATGGCTTGCAAAACAGCAATGTTGCTTGTCCTTGACAAATTTCAATGGGCCTTGGCTGTCATCCTATGAATAAGGCAATACAAGAAAAAAGTCACCCTTCACGCTTTGCGCTGCCAAAAATGCCTTGATGAGATGGCATGTTCGGAGTCTTATCCAAAGGTAAAGAGGCAAAGAATTGATACTGAGAAAAGCAGCCGTAAGCTGCTTCTTTAAGTGCAAATCGAAACACACTCCCTAGTGTACATATACTCCATGCGCCTATTTCCCTGATCGCCTTCCTCATGACTCCCGCGATGCACCAAGAGACGTCAATTTGCGCTCTCCATACTCTCTGCTTCTTCGTGGGATGCTGTAGTAAGTATCGTTTTACATCCTCTTGCCAGACGCCTGCCTCCGTTTCCTGCTTCCTTTGATCTCATGACGGCCTTGACGAGGGTGCGCATCGCTCTGCTTCTTCTTCCACCCTCTGTTGTTTTTGGGAAGTCGGAGTTTTGTCGTTTCCTGTAAATGCCTCGGCTGTCTCAACGGCTTCAAACCCACGCACACCTGTACAGTCCTTTCGGTGCGTTGTGATAAGGTAATAAAACGGCATCAATCAGCCGCAATAGATGCATGGAACCGGGGAGTCGCCCGTTCCCTAGGAGACTCCTCGATTTTGACAAGGTCGCCGGCCTAGGTCAATTCGTCCAACTAAAACTGGACGCCTGGGTTCCAGGATACCAAACGCTGACCCTAACTAGCTGCCGCTACTTCGGTGGATTTAGCTCCATTTACGAGAGTCTCTTCGGCCTTGGAGGTTTCCTGGGAGTCTGCGCCTTCTCCGTTGGCGGCTGTTTGGTTACCTTCTTGGCTCTCCAGCACGCCCGAAAGCTGGACATCTGCTGCGCCAGAAAGGACTGCCTGCCTACGTTCGTGCCAGTCGACCTCACTCTTGACAACCTGGGAGAAGAGAACCTCCTTCTCTCGCCAAAGGTCCTTATACTGCTTCTCCCAGTACTTGACCTCTTCCGCCAGCTTGACCGACTCCTCTTGCGCCCACTTGACTTGGAATCTGCAGAGTTTGTACAGCCTCTCAAGCGGTATCTTGAGCTCCTCCCGAGTGAAGCCTTGATCTTCAGTCAAGGGAGTAAACAGGTCGGCAGAGAGCTCGTCGTCGTCAGCTCCGTCATCGATGGCATCATCGTGTCCCGCAGCGTGTGACTGAGGGGTCTTGATGATAATCTTGAGTTTCCCCTTTCCTGTAGGACCCGCTTGCATGGACTTGGGGACAGGATCGGAGGGACGCAAGGCCTCTGTCTCGTGGACGGTTCGCATGTGCTTAGCGAGAGCATCTGATCTCGTAAATGATCTATCGCATTCTGTCTGCGAGTTAGCCGGTATGCCCTGAGGTTCTGCAAAGGATGGTCACAAGCCTGGTAGATAACAGTAGAAAGGTTTCTCCCTGGTATGGCTTCGCATGTGGGCTTTCAAGGCGTAACCGCTGGCGTGCCCCATGCTCTTTCTACTGCATCCAGTCCATTCGCACGTGTATTTCTTCTGCCGGCTTTCGATGTGATCGCTGTGAATATGCTCCACCAACTTATCCATGTTGCCAAAATCGCCCGCATCGCAGCCTTCCCAGGCACAGGAAGTCACCTGTTCTTGGAAGTCTTCCTCGTCGAGTTTGGCGTTAATGGGAGAGCTGGGAATGTCGCCAGACGTGTCCGAAGACACGTCCGACATGCCCTCCAAAGGGTCCGGCTCAGGCACAGCTTCTGGTTCGGGTTCCGCGACCACCGCGGGAGACGTTGTTGAGGCTGCGCCTAGCTTCTGGCGCTTCGAGGGACGAAGGAGCGATTCATCCTCGTAATCGTGGACCTCCTCCTCCTCGGAGGTGTTGTTGTTGTCCGAGGTGAGGGGTGAGTCGGGCGGTGTTGAGTCTCCGCGAGCCATGTTGCGCCGTTGAATGATGGAAATCTAGCACTTTGAAAGATGCAGCAATGAATGGCTGTGGATTGTTCAGTGATGAAGCGTAAGAATTATCGTTACGAGAGGAAAAGAGATGGGAGGTCGATATGATGAAAAACGAGCAATGCGCTGCTGTCGTAGATTTGATGATGAATCAATTGGTAGGAGCCAGCGGGATGCAGGTCAATCGCTAGAAAAATCACATCGGTCTCGTTCCTGACAACTTTAATGATGTTTGCGCCTGGGCTCAATCCGCAGGGTGTCGCGACGAGCAGCGCGGCTCACGGAGCTCATCTTGTGGGTCCACTTACCTACCAAGCCAACTCTGCCAGGTGTCAGGGGCACCCTCGAAGAGCAGCCAGTGGAAGCCAGCTGTCAGCGTCAAATGACGGCAATCGCCCCCTGGTCAGTCGGTGCCTGGCACCCTGTGACTACAACCAGGCACACAGAGGCAAGCCGCACACAGGCACCCACCCGGGCTCACCCCCTGCAAATGTGACTCGGGGGTCTTGTGGAAAACAAAATAAAGTGACTTTGTTTAACCCCTCCCCCACCATAAACATCCCCGACATACACTCATTTTGCGCTTTCGCTGCCACCTTTCTCCCAGCTTTTCCAACACTCCTTGCTTATCAATAAATCCATCATGGCGACCACGCGCAAGGTGTTCTCTCTTGAGGGAAAGGGTCTCAAGCTCGATACTGGTGCCGACCTTGAGCCCCACATCGCTGAGTTGCGCTCGACTGACGTCGAGGAGGTCAGGTTCCTGGGAAACACCCTGGGAGTCGGTGCTTGCAAGCTCCTTGGTGAGGTCCTGGCCACCAAGAAGAACCTCCAGGTAGGCGAACGAGAGTTTCCAAAACACGTATAACCATTCACTGACCAAAAGTGACTAGTCCGCCGACCTCTCCGACATCTTTACCGGCCGTCTCCTGAGCGAAATCCCTGAGGCCCTCTCCTCCCTCCTCACTTCTATTCTCAACCTCCCCAAGCTCACGACGATCAACCTGAACGACAATGCTTTCGGTATCAACACCCAGGCCCCGGTCGTCGCTTTCCTGGCTGCCCACGTGCCCCTCCAGCACCTTTACCTGAACAACAATGGCCTCGGCCCCCACGCTGGTATTCTGGTGGCCGATGCGCTCTCTGAGTTGCACGCCAAGAAGGAGGCGGCAAGAAAGGAGGGCAAGGAGGTCCCGTATCTCGAGACGGTCATTTGCGGTCGCAACCGTCTGGAGAACGGCAGCATGCAAGCCTGGGCCAAGGCCTACAGCCTTCACAACAAGATCAAGGAGATCAGGATGATCCAGAACGGTATTCGCCAGGAGGGAATCAGCCACCTCATTAGCGAGGGCTTGAAAACTGCGACCGAACTGCGCATCCTCGATCTCCAGGACAACACCTTCACCATCAACGGTGCCAAGGCTCTTGCTGGTGTCCTTCCCAACTTGACAAGCCTGCAGGAGCTCGGCCTCAACGATGCCTACCTCACACCCAAGGGTACCAAGGTTGTAGCCAAGTCTCTTGCTAGAGGCAAGCAGAACAAGTTGGAGACACTTCGCCTGGCTTTCAACGACATCACCCCCAAGGCACTGGAGAGCATCGCCAGCGTCGTCACCGAGTCTCTGCCCGCGTTGAAGAAGGTTGAGCTCAACGGCAACAAGGTTGAGGAGGAGGACCCCTCCATCATCGCCATCCGCGAGTTCCTCGAGGAGCGCAAGGAAAAGATTGGCGGCGACGTTGTTGACGAGGACGCCTGGGGACTCGACAGCCTCAGCGACCTCGAGGGAGAGGACTCTGATGAGGAGGAGGAAGAGGAATCCGAGGAGGAAGAGGAGCTGGACGCCGAGAAGGAGGCCGAGATCCTCACCAAGGAGGCTGAGGAGGCTCAGGAGGAGCCCACTGTCCAGCTCAAGGACAAGGAGGTGGACGATCTGGCTAAGAAGCTGGCCAAGACGGAGATTTAAGAGATGTATGGAAACATTTTCTTTGGTTTACAGGTTTAGATGATGGAACGCAAGAGGAATGACCCCCGCATTATACAGGAGTGAGGAGACAGAGACGATACCCCCCAAAATTACACTTCATCCCAAACAGTCTTGACTGTGACTATTACATACAGATTGTCATCTGACCGGCAGGAGTCTGATTATGCCCATGCAGCAATCTTTACATCATTCTCCTGGGTATCAAGACCTGTCGCAGTAATGGTGGTATGTCCGGGGTAGCCCCAATTCCAAACGTCACTCCACGATCACCCCACGAAGCCGACATCCATGGCGATGCCAGGTCACAAGATCAACGAGATGGAATCGCGTGAGCTTGAATCGTAGTATATAGTACACAAAAGACTGAGCCATTTTAGATTGATAGTTGCAACGACGGAACAAATTCACGAATAAATCTAGTAAACAGAAACCTTGAACGAATAAATACATCACACAAACCAACTGGACCTACCTACCCACCTGAGGCCGGCAATCATGGACTACCTCTTCGAAACCACAGACTCGGTCTTTGAGATCCTATGGGACGTCGCGCTCGCCTTCTTCATCGTCCGCATCGCGCTATCGTACTTCTTCTTCACCTTTACCACAACAACGCTGCTCTCATGGATCATTTATACATATCGCCGATACTTACGACTGCCCCTTATCTCCGATCAGCAGCAGCAGCAGCAGCAGCAGCAGCAGCACCTCACAGTCTCACAAACCGAGCTTTTCTTCTTAGCAGTGCTGTTTCTACAAACCATCATAGGCCTCGTCGTTGCGCGGTACGTCGTGGCAGTCTACGACGTGCCGCGCGTGGCCTCGTTCCGGCTTGCGATCGGAGGTCTGGCGACGGCGTTCCTGGCCGGCGCGGAGGGGCTACTCGGGTTGATCATATCTGCGTTTTCAGACGAAGGAGGAGAGCACGGAAGGGACTGCTGGATTTGGCAGAGTGTGAATGGATGGATGATGGTCGCAGCGATGCTTGGCGGATCGGTTGCCTTTGCGGCGATGCCTGTGGTATTGATGTGGTTTGAGAGGTCCGAGAAGGCTCCGGTTTCTGCTGGAAGGGCTGAGGGGAAGGGGGGAGATGGGGATGCAAGGGCTTGATGGCAAGAGAGTTTGAGGACGATGATTTTCGAGCCAGGGAGTCAAAGTCGGAGAAGCTCTGGCTATGAGGAATATCGAAACCGGGATGCCGGCGATGTAATGAATTGGTGTTCACAATGTCAAAAAGGGAGTCTTATTGTCTAACGTTTTGGAAAGCGAGACATGGCTGAATGAGAATCGTCAGGGGAAAAGGGTCTTTGTTGGAGTCTTTGGTGGCCCTGCATATACGTTTGAGTCTTGAGTCTCGAAGATATTCGCCATGGGGCTACTGTGGTTGGCTCGTCCGATGTTGGAGTTGAAATCACAATGTATCCCAAGTTGATTACCTTTGCTTCAGCCTTGAGGTCGTCGTCACTGAGACTGTAGGACCAGACTATTGAATACGTGATTCTCCTGGATCGATTGGAACCTCGCAGACAAGAAGAGCCTCCAAGAATTGGGAGAAGGTCGGGCATGTCAGCCGAGACATTGTGTTCAGGGGCGGCGCAGCGTTTGTGGGCCTTCAGCCATGTATTGGCGTGTAAGCCAGGGCGGGTTGGTTTTTCTAATCTCTGGAATGTTTACGGCCTTTCTACCTAAGCTACGGTACCCTTTGGAAAAGTTTTACACCCTCGTGGCACTGGCTTGCCCTTGAATCCTGCTTGGGTCTCTAGAAAACTACCAAGGTGCTCTGGAAATATGCAATGCGTGGATGAAAGAGAAAGAAGAAGAAGAAGAAAAAAAAAAAGAGAAAAAAAAAAGGCATTCGATCTCGTCACAGGTAAGCTGGGAATGGGATGACAGCTGTCAGGGGGCAAGGTACACCGGGCGCTCCCGCTGCTGCTGCGCTGTGCTGCTGGAAAGTGGCAGGGTTTCCATTCTTCAGCGTGGCCACCTCCCCGGGAAAAGCGGGGCATATCGCGGAACCCCCAGGTTGCGGATACATCTGCCGTCTGCACCTGTCCGACTACCACCGTACCATATTCTCGACCCAACCTTGCATACGGTACTCACTCATCTTTTCTAGCAGCACTTGAACAGCCTCCAATCTCTCAGTGACAGAGTCATCTTTTCCTATTCAAAGGCATCATAAGTGACTAGCGCTAATCAACGGGGTTCACACGAAGAGGATTCTGTCCAATGCTTGGGATGTAATCTATTGGACTGGGCAAATTTCTCACAAACTCCAATCAAGCGCTTCTGCTGCCAATTGTGTTCGGTTTGAAGTCTCATCGAAACATCAATAACACGATCAAAGTTGATTTGGGAAAGGAAAAAAACTTTGCTCCAGTCATATTCTCCCCTTTCCTGTCTCTAGCCAGACGAGTGAACCAGAGTTGGTAAACTTTTGATGGGTGTCTTTCCGGGAAACGTGTGCCGGAAGTCTCATATTCCCTTTGCCTTGTTTTCTTTTCCAGCCCATGTTGCAGATGTTCCCTGACTAGGACCCTGTGGCCATGGAGAGGGATCCAGAACTCCGGGGTGGAGGTTTCTCATTCCTACTCGTGGTAGTCGACTACGATGTCAAAGGGGGGGCTGTTCACAAGGCCACTCCACCACCTCCACCACCTCCTCCACCTCCTCCTCCCATTCCAATGCCTCCAATACTGCTTTCTAGCATCACTTGGAAAGGTCTTGGAGGTTGGTAAAACTCACACCACCAGACTCTACCCATTCCTCATCATGAAGCCTCCACGCTATACCCCTCCATCGTCGGGGACCCCCCTCCCCCCTCTGAACAGTCTATGGGGCCTTTTACAGAAGAAAAAGGGAGGCTCAGGTATCACGACGAAGACCCAGAAACAATAAGAAGAGCCGCCCATCTTCGCACCAACCCGTCCTGGCTTTGCTCCTCCCTTTTCCCCTGTCGATCAAGCAAGGTAAATCCAGCCTTCTCCATTCACTGAAAGCTGTAATCCCCGTTGCCCACCATGGTCGGATCATCCCTCCTCCTACCTCTCCTCGCCGCCCTGGCTTCCATAGCCGGCGCGGTACCAGTAAACGAGCGCCGCTCCGTCCGCCCGACGTGCGGGAAGCCGGGGACTGTGGTGTCTACCACACAAGTCACGATACCCACCTCCCAGGCGGCGACAGCAGCGCCCACGAGCCCGCCCGCGGTGTCGCTTCCTTCACCCATCACTGTCTCCTCCTCCTTTGTCACTTCTTCTCGTCTCGCCTCGTCGACTTCGGCGGGAGGAAACCCCGTCGTTTCCTCATCGTCGGTGAGAACGTCGGCGGCGGCCTCTTCAGCTTCTGCTGCGCCGTCGTCTCTATCAACTGTGCGAGCGTCCAGCACGGGCACAGCCTCTCCGCCTGCTACCGGCACAGGAACCCCGGCATCGGGATACAGGAATGTCTTGTACTTCACAAATTGGTACGTGAAAACTTCCCTACATCTGCAAAGAAACCCAGGTGTCCTCCATGCTAACACTTCTGCTTCAGGGGCGTCTATGGGGCGAACTACCAACCGGCAGACATTCCCGCAGACAAGGTGACGCACTTGCTCTACTCCTTTGCAGATATCCAGACAGACGGCACGGTGTAAGTTGATCCCCGGTCACCAAACTTAAAAAGTTTGCAAGAAGCAAAAAATGGCTGACACAAAGAAAAACAGAGTCTCGTCAGACCCCTATTCAGACACGCAACGCCAGTACTCTGGTGACGACAACCAAGCAGGCAACGCCTACGGCTGCGTCAAGCAGCTCTACGCCCTCAAGAAGCAGAACCGCCAGCTCAAGCTCGTCCTCTCCATCGGCGGCTGGACCTGGTCTAGCAAGTTCCCCGCCGTCGCCGCCTCGGACACGGCTCGAAAGCAGTTTGCTTCCTCTGCGATCAAGCTCATGATCGACTGGGGATTCGACGGGTAAGAAGAACCACATTTACAAACATATATACACACTTGTGCATGCCTTATGCTAACGAAACCCCTTCTTCCGCAGTCTCGACATCGACTGGGAATACCCAGCCAGCGACACGGAAGCAACAAACTTCGTCGCCCTCCTCAAGGAAGTCCGCTCCCAGCTCGACGCCTACGCCGCGGCCAACGCACCGGGCTACCACTTCGCCCTCACAATCGCCTGCCCCGCGGGCCCCTCGCACTACAAGCAGATGAACCTGGCCGGCATGGATCCCTACGTCGACGCCTGGCACCTCATGGCCTACGACTACGCCGGCTCCTGGGACACCACGACGGGCCACCAGGCCAACCTCTACCAGAACCCGTCCAACCCGACGGCGACCAAATTCGACACCCAGACCGCGCTGGCGTACTACCTCTCCCAGGGCATCGCCTCCAACAAGGTCGTCCTCGGCCTGCCCCTGTACGGCCGCTCCTTTGAGAACACGGCCAACGGCGTCGGGCTGCCGTACTCGGGCGTCGGGACGGGCTCCATCGAGCCGGGCGTGTGGCACTACAAGGTCCTCCCCAAGGCCGGCGCCGTCGAGGTCTACGACTCGACGGCGGGCGCGCTGTACAGCTACGATAGTTCGACAAAGGAGCTCATCAGCTACGACAACCCGGCAAGCGCGGGCGTCAAGGCCCAGTATCTGCTCGACAATAGGCTCGGCGGCGCCGTCTTCTGGGAAGCCGCTGGTGATCGCAAGGGCGAGGGAAGTCTGGTGGGTGTGTTGGCGAGCAAGATGGGCAAGCTGGATTCGAATCAGAATCTGTTGAGCTACCCCAACAGTCAGTATGCCAACATTAAGAGCAACCTGGCGTGAAGGGGCCTCGAGGAAGTGGATGGTATTTGTGCTTTCTTTCAAATTTGTTTTGGGGCAGGTTACTAGAGGCGTTGTTTTACGCTATGCTGCATTTCTTGATGGGATATGACTTATAACGAAGTCTTGGGACACGGGCTCTTAGCGATGCATATGATATACGGCCGAATGAAGCCAATGAATTAGACGGCAGAATTCAAGTTTCACCGAACTACCAGGAGAATACTTTGATAGCGATTGACCGAGTAGTCAGTGGACTGTTCTGCGTTGGTAACTGGCCAAAGTCACCGTTAGGTAGGTAGCCATAGCATCCACGTGGAAACCAACCTACCTTTTGATCAGTTCGACTACTCCCAAGGAACATGGGCGACAGCTGAGTTGCTGAAACTAGTCGAGGACTTGGTGGAACTTTTGTGCTGCAGCTCAACGGGCGCACAAAAGAAGAAACAAAAACGGAAGTATGCCGAACGGTCGAGCACTGCGGGACGGGAGAGTATTGTCATCGGACCCGAACGCTCTGTCCACAACTGCCGACAGCCCTGGCTCAAGGCTCCAGTGCAAAGGTCGAGTGGACTACCAACGCCATACGTTTTACGACGACTGCATAGCGATCGCCCACGAGGAGCTTCCAGGGGCTTGGCTCAGCGCTTCGGCAGGAGCCGAGGACTGTATGAGTTTAGTGCTGACGGGAGGGGGCGAATAATCGGTGATTTGGGGCTCGACGGGGTCGCTGTAAAGGGGTTAGTTGGGCCCCAAGGCCCGCCTACTGGCTCGATCCAATGGCCTAGACTTTGTTGTTGGTTCTCCGTTCGAGCCTCGTAGGGTGCGGTAGAAGTTTGAATAGACTTCTGTGCTCAGTTGGTTTGTCGGACCGAGTTGCTGGCCTTGTCGTCCAACCAATTATCAACGTCTTGGTACAATATGAGGTTCCCAAAGGAAAGGCTTGTCCCACCGAGCAAAGACTCCAGAGTGGAAGCGACCCCTTACCGATGGAGGCCGGGGAGGCTGCCGAAGCTGGCCGATGGATGGGCCGTCAATCCCAGAACAGTCTGCGGGAAACTGCCGACCTGGAGATGGGATGGTGATGGGTGTGGTCGTCGTCACGATGGAACTCGACTTCAGATGGATTTGCGTTCTTCGGCGATGAATCGCTGACAAATCGAGGGAGATACGATAATTTGGGAGTCGGAATACGACTGGTACTCGGCGATAGAGTCTCAGGTTCTCCTCATGGTAATGGTTCATGGAGTGATTATAGCTTGGGCACATGTGCCGTTTCGTCGACTAGATGAGTCACACGGCCA